AATATTTGAAAATGCCTCAGAGGCCTCAAAAATCTTCCTATCACTGACAACCAAATCTCATGAGCCTTATCAACTTTTGGGTAGAAATTGTCACCTTGATCCAGAAGGGTTGGAATAGTCCCAAAAGTTGATAACATCATGAGAAGCTAACATCCATCTGGAGAAGAGGACACATCAGGAGACAAATCTTTGAGTTGGGAACTTTCATCCTTAGATTTATGAGAAAAATTTCGAGAATCACTTTGGGAAAACATGGTTGTAGAGGAAAAATATAAGGAGGTCAGAAGAGATGAACGACAAAGGAAAGAAAGAAATCTACAAAGAGAAATAGCATATTTATAGGTTCCGTAAAGAAACTAAACCATTAGGTTTAGTGCAAAGATAAATAATAGCCGATTAGATTAAATGAACAATCACAACCATCAAATATTTAAAGCCAAGTAATTAAGGATTCAAAAAGGATGGACCCAATTAAGTGAATCTGACACGTGCGTTAAATGTATTCAGGCCACTAGATTAGACATGTAAAAATGATCTACAGCACATGCAAATAAGTCAATTATAGTACATTCAAATAAGTCAATTATAGCACGTCCCCTCAAAACAACCCAAGTCATTCCCTACTGGGGAAGGAAAATATATAAGTAGCCATAAGTTCAAAATGCGTCAGAAGAGGTAATAAGTCCTATAATTAATATAAATATCAAAATTTGACTTAGAGGACTATTTGTTAATCCTCACAATAAAATCCATGAACTAGGTACACATTGGCGAAGGTGAGGAGCAATGTACGAGTGGAACAAAGAAACAAATGACTTGCATAAGGATCTCAAACTATTCGTCAAATACAAGTTGTATGTAAGGTGCAAATGGGCAAATTTATAAAGCGTAGCAAAATTACCTAGAAGATTGCCAATAAGATGGCACAACCTCGTACAGGGGAGAAATGACCAAACTACCCCAGTGCTTGGAGGAAAATTTGTAAATACCCTCACAATTGAATAAAGCATGCAATTAAGATATCTATCCTCTCATTCTAGTTGAAGCATATAGACTAGTGAATTTAGGAGATGAGACACATAGTTAGGTGAGAGAATTTTTTTATTATATTTTCATTGAAATTTGAATGTAATTGTTCTATAAATAAAATTGTACACGAAATTATTATTTCAATTTTAACACAGCAAGTTTATAGTTCATAACAAGTAATAAAGTGGAATGAAGAGTTCTAATTGTCGTCCCACAGAGACTGAGTTAGCTTAATTTTACCTATCTCGACATTAATCGAAACCAAGTAGTCAAAAGTGATATTGGTAACTTGACTATACCTAATCTAGATTATGTGGCAAATGTCAATGAATTAGATGAAACTAGAATGCAAGTTGATGTTTGAAGTGCAAGTTTGTTAAATTTAATTAATGAACAGTGCACCGCGATCGCGAATCCCCATGTAACGATCTCTTTTACCCTAATTCCACAAATTGACAACATACTGAAGTTTTGAAGAATCAATATTCCTATTCTATCCAACAATCTCTCTCGAGTAATGCTGAGCCTACTTTCACATATGACTCGACTATATCTCTATGACGAATGTGAACATACAAGAATGCATGATTTTTGTGAATACTTAGAGATTCAAGCAGGGCATAGCAGTATATTTCTATCCCTTATCAGATCCTACGATAGTTTATACCCTGTCGAGCCTATTTCCTTTCTCTCAAATGCATGAAATAAACCAACAAACTCACACAATCACCTGTACATAATTATGGAGGAAACTAATTGCATATAAACTATTCAAATTTGTATAACGTGTTTTAATGTGAATACTATAAAAATAGAAATCAAAAGATTACATCACATGGTTCATTGTTCTCTGATTATGGGATTTCTAATTTTTTTTCGATGGGTCGAATAGTCGGACTTGGTTTTTGTTTGGATTTTCTCAAGAAAAATGCATTGGGTTATTTCAAGAAAATGCAACAAAATCAAATGCTTATATAAAATATAATGCAATGGGCCCAAAATATTTACTTCGTGCTCCATTAATATGAGTTATAATATTCAACATGTCGTGTGACTCTCATTCCAAAATCATTAGGCTCTTCCAACTAAAAAGAATCAATTGCTATCTGTAGAAAAAATCGTGGGAAAATATATGAGTTGATAGCTCAGTGAGTGGAGAAGTTCGAAAATAATTATACTTTTCAACTTTACATTTCTATCGAAAATCGAGTTCATATCATTTAATAATTCACAAGATAACATCATGTAATTATAACCAAAAGTGAAATATTCACATAAGGTCGTAAAATATCATCTCAAAATCATGATATAAATATTAGCTGATAACCATGCTATAATCTCATCGCATCAAATGTGCTGAAAAATCCACCAAAAATGTACCATTTGACTGAAATATGTAATCCGCCTCTCGGGCTAAGAACTTTTGCCATGGGCCTTTGGCCCCTTCCTTGAACGAAAGTCGATCTCAAAGACCTCTCATAATCAATTCTAAAACATGGCCAAGGCCCCTCTGTGAACTATATGTAAATGATCAAGACCAATGTCAGGTCAAGACCCTCCGTGTAGGATAGAACACGGTCAAGGTCTCTCTGTGAACTAAAAGAAGTATATAATCACGGATACTTTTCTGACCAATCTTAATATTGCATGTCTCACATACCAAACAAATCTCAATATCACATTTGTCTCACATACCAAGTCATAAATGTAACATAAGTAATCTTTGAAATTCTACATCTGTCATAATAAAAGAGATTTTTGTAATAATCATAAAATCGAACATATAATTGCGCATACTTTACTAATATACTTAATTTATAAATACTTTAAAAATATTTAATTTTTTTCACTCACAGAACTATGTACGCCAAAATCAACTCGATTGGTACGCTATCCCGTTTTTAAATAAATAATTAATTATTTTAAATAATTTCAATCATTAAATAGGCGACACCCAAACTTAATCATTTCACGTTTGGGCGATTTCTACTATCTCTTTAATAACTAAAACTAGTTTTTCTTTCATCTTACTCAATTTCATAGTTTATTACACTTAACCCCTTCAATAAAATTGAATTTATTCTAACAATCTAACAATTATAAAATCAAACATAACTTGATAATAAGTAACTTTTTACTTACTTTTCAAAATTGAGGAATTTAAGCCTAATATTGGAGATCACTTAATTCCTAACACGTTGGCAAAAATTTTCTTTTTTTTTCTTCTTTTTCTTCCCCCCCTTTTTTTTCTTTTTCCTTTCTCTTTTCTCTCCCAAAATTTATTTTTATATCATTTCGGGCCCTCTTAAGTACTAGCAATTTCAAATTTAAACCCCATGAAAATCATTCCTCCAGCTTAAATCCATATTTGGCTTTACCTTTGACTATATAATTCATTGACTTTGACTGTAATTGAGTGAGGTGTAACATTTATAACTTACCTAAAGATGATTGAAAGGAGCTTATTGAATTAATGGTTAAGTATGGTGGGACTACAGGTGGAGGTTGCATCCTGATGTCTAAAGTGGCAGATAATTGGTTCTATCTTTATTTTTTGCTGAAGCTATTTTTGCAATGAGAAAGGAATAATCTAGCTATCTCATTTACATTATACACAGATAAAAGTTATAGAACTATAATATGTATAATCTAATCATAATTCTCGTGATCATTCATTAAGTGCAGTTCCTCTTATAATTTGTATCACTTATCTAGATGATTGAATAAAATTATTATCATCCCAATTTCGAAAAATCTATGAACCAAAACACAAACACATCCTCTCTCTCTCTCTTATTTTGTGCCTAATGCCTGTGAAAATATATGTGAATATTTATACATGCAGCAAATGTAATGTGTGTGTATAAACGTGTTTTTGTGGCGTGTATGTCCCTTTAGTACAAATTGGGGAATAGCACAGGCTGTGATGAAACTTTGGATTATCCCAGAGGGTGCTCAGAAAGTGCCCCCTCCACAAACAAAAATTAATACTAATAATATATTCTTTGAATACCTAGAAAAACAAATGCTTCATTTAAGTAAAAAAAAAAAAAAGTGCTTTTATATAATCTAATGTATTTTATTTTTTAATGAAAAAGAACAAGTTCTTTGATTTGTTTTTTTTCATTTGTATTATTAATTTTAAAAAATGACTACTAAGTTCCTAATCATGAATAAAAACAGTTTCTTTATTCCGTAGAATTGCATTAGTAAATTCATATATTTAAGTTGATCAAATGTTTTTAAAAGGATTTTGAGCATTGTGCCTGCTGTGACTTTGCTATGCCCATTTTGAGGTAAGAAAGCTTATCAGTATGCTTATATCATTACGATGAGTTTGACAAAGTTTAATCTCGATACAACATTAGAAAGGTATGTATGATTATTAGGATACCTATGTACACGAATATTAGTATATGTTTGAGTTTGAGTACGTATTGTGGATAGTTATAATTACACCAAGTATTTTGAGGATGTAACCAAATTTAAATATTTATTTAAATTCTCGAGAATTAACTAAATTTATTAGATACCCACTAATTGGACCTCAAATAATTGAAATGGAACAGATGAGTTCAATGATTCCTCATCAATGTAAGATTCTGAGGTAGTATGAAGAGTATCAATGGAATCGAGCACACGATATGGGCCAACACATTGAGGAGATGTTAATAAGGTGGAGGGAGATGAAGCAACTAGGCCAATTCATGTCCAAGGAGACACTTGTGTCCTAACATTGGCCTGTCCTTGCGCTTCTCTATACATGTAGCATAATTTAAAAAGTAATTCTTTCTTACTAGTGTAGAATCTAAATAATAGTGGCCCTCGATTCAGTGGCCGATATATTTATTAATATTTTGAGAGGAATAATATTCAAGAGCACAACTCCAATTACACGCAAATAAAACATAAGACAAGTACAACATAACACATTTTACTTTTTTAATTTAAGACATTGCATGATTATGAGATTAATAGAAGATTGCACAAGTGACGCCAGCAGGAGAAGTCCTTCCACTCACATTGAGAAGTAGACTGAGAGAAATTGGGATATTCAGATTGATTCCTAGCACGTTGGCTCTAATGGCGGTGCAAGGGCAAACCGCTGCCTCGAGGTCTGCCAATCCCGCCACCAAGGTGCAGCAAGAGGTGGTGGAAGGGCTTCCAACTACCACTCCCACCAATCCTCCTAATAGATTGGCGCAGACGCCTAGTCTTAAGGCATCCCTAGGACAAGTTGCTGACTGACCGCCACCAGGTCCACCACTGGTTGCCGGTGGTGAGGGGTAGCCGCAGGTTCCTTCTACACATGCGGTGGTTAAAACAAAGCAGAGAACGTTCATTGCAAGAAATAGGGTGGCTTTGGCTGGAGTTTGGGAAACCATTTTTCAGTTCTCAGAGCTTGTCTTGGATCAAATATTTTTGTTAAAAAGGTGGTTTGAAGTTGAAGGTTCAAAGCAGACATTTTTATAGTAGAATTAGATGAAGAAAATATCCAAAATTGAACAGATAAACACTTATAAAATTACTATTTTTTCGGCCGAAAACTATAGGCCAGATTTAGGTACTGGGCAAAATTCTCTGTCCACCTATTAGTATTTATAGATAAGATTTAACATGTATCTAGCCTAACTCATGAACCAACATTGAATAGATACGTTTCTTCTCCTCTAGTACATTAATGGACAAATGCATGTATAATTATAATTCATGAATCTAGATAAAATTGCAAATTACGTTTCCAACAACAATGACATAGAATTCACAGTACCCCAACAAACATTGTCTATTGCTAAATAGCCAGCTTTATTGAACATACCGAAAAAGGAAAATTACAGGACCAATTTGCATGCATCATACTAGTGCATATACTGTCATTTGAAGAGCGCACGTACACACACTATATATATATATATATATAAATAGTGAAATACTGTGAATTCTATGTCATTGTTGTAATGTAGCTTTCAGAAATGAATATTTGATTGAGACCCTTGAGGCCACAATGAATGGTTGTCTAATTTGAAGAACTAAAAGTATGTAATAGAAAATGAAATTAACGGAAAGCTGTATCGATTTCTTGATTGCAGGATCTAACTTAAAATTTTCTAGAGATGATCTAGAATTTAACTCTAAAGAACTTAATGACAAACCCTCAAAATAGAAAAATTTAAACACTGCTTATTGTTTTGTTCACTATTTGGGTTCTTGTACCACGATAAAAATTTAAGCTTTTCCCATTGTTCGAGGCAAAATTTTTATGAAAATCAAGAACTAGGATCAGAATTAAACACATCAAAATACTGCCTTAATTTCAACATACTAAAAAATTAGTATCCTTAGAAATCTAAAATATGGCTAGAACGTCCTTGTCCATAGTGAAATAATGTGCTAACGGTACTCTCTTTTCTTGGCTAATTTTATAGTGTTTCTTTAACATGAAATTGAGCTTGAAAGAGGGGGAAAATTGATTATAGTGGGCTACGCTTTTTGGAGGGAAAGCAAACAGTCTCGGTCTTAATATGTCAAGTAACACTAAATTCGAATATATATATATATATATATTCAGTCTCAGTCTTAATATGTCAAGCAACGCTAAATTCGAATTTATAGGTTCCCATTCAGAGGCTTTTATCTGTTTTTACCTTCAGATCCGGATGAATTTCTCATTTGCAACCACGGACCCAACCTGTTAACAAAATCTTCCAGAGTATAGGAAATCATTGCAAACAAAGTCCTGAGTTCTTGTGTAGTCCCTTTCATTTCGGACGTTATTTCTATTTCTGCATCACTTTTTAAAACAAGAATTCGTGCTATTTTTTTGTCGAACTTTTCATTGCTCAGGTCGAACTGAACACAATAATATATTTAATGAGTAACAACGTGTTTAATAAAGTAAATTGAAGATTAATTTATACAACAAGTTAAATTTACTTTGCTCAATAAAGTGTATGAAACACGTTGCGAGAGATTACAAGATATTCCCCAATTTTTGGATAAATAGGTCGTTATTTTCAGAGGTAAGGCTTCTGCACTGCCAATGATGGGATAAATACGAATTACTATTCTCCATGACCACTAAATTTTTGAATTTTTCAATCTAATTTAGCGTGAAACGATGAAATTGTGTATGTACAAAAGGTGTTGAGAATGGATATTTATTGGAGGCCCATAATTTTTTATATATATAAAAATTTAGAATGGATGCAATTATTATTGGAAGTTTTTTTTTTTGGAGAATATCATAGAAGACTTAAAAGTTTGAAGCATTAAGTTCTTGGAATTAAAAATTAGAAGTTAGCAATCCAAAAAACTGAAAGATCATGACTCAGAATTTATGCAAGAATTAACAATCAAATTTAGGGCAAAGAATTGAATTATTTACTTTGTATATAAGATACGCGTGAATATATAGACGATCTTTTTTATTTATTTCATGAAATTTATTAATTTTTGGATAATTCTGCTTCCACATTCTAACAACTGGTATCATAGTAATGTAAATCATTCGCGTGCTTGTTATTTTTGAATCTTGATTGCATATTCTAGTCGAGCGATGTCTAGGAATAATTTATTATCTGTTGATTGAATGATTGGTTTATTTTAAATGACTATCTAATTATTTATCACTAGTTCTTGTTGTAATTCATTATTTCAAGTCTATAACAAGAATGTGGATTACAACCCCATCATCTTAATTTAAATTCTTTTTGAATTAGATTTAAAATTATGAGCATATGGGACATAAGATTCATGCAATTTTTTAAATTCTTGTAATTGTTGGATCTCGTAAATTGATTGAAAATCAAAGATCGAGACAACGAAAAAAGATTCAACAATTTAAAGCAATAAAATCAAATTAAATGATTAATTCATTGCTAACGAGCAGCAGCTTAAAGCTACATTTGGCGTAGAACCTTGCTATGGTGTAGTAGATTTACTTAGATTTTGGTTTGTTTTATACAGATTGGGTTAGATCTGGATAAGTTTTGTTCGGAATTGATTAATTTTTTAGGTACGATGTGCGAGGTCCTATTGCTTTATGAGTTGTTAATGTTGCATCCTTGAAGATTTTGTGGTTGAAATTTTAGTTTAAGTGTTGGACATAGGTTCAATAAGTTTTCAATTTAATTCTTGAGTTTTTTAGACCATAAATAATTGTTAATTTATCGTTTTATGAATGCTTCATATTGTTGTTTGAAATATTATCATTCTATGTATCATGTCATGTAGATTTATTTATGATATCTCTCATAATGCTATGAATAGGAAGTATATCATTGAACTCCTATGTATATTTTATTAATTTAATTTAGTTTAAATATTTTTGATGGAAAAGTCGTAATAATTAAATTGTATATTAATTTAATTAATGTGAATAGTTGATAACTATTAAATTTTTTCTTGATTAATTCAATTTCGATTAAATTTTTTTAGAGGGAAAAATCGTAGTAATAAAACTGTATATCAATTTGATTATAGTGATCAGTTGATGATTATTTAAAATTTCATTAATTTAATTTATATTAAAACTTTAGGAAGGAAAATTCATAATAATTAAACTGGATATTAATTTGATTAATGTAAACAATTTATAATTGTTTAAATTTAAAATCCATTACTCTAATGTATAGTTTAAACGGTCTCCTTTAGTTAATCCATGAATAAAGTATCAAGCATGCCACATGCTAGTAATGAAATAGACTCTCTATAGGATGATCACATTGTTCGAATTGCTTGATAGGATTCTTTTATGGTAAGATCGTCTAGGCAGAAAATAATTTATAATCACTCTATAGATGGAGAAATTAATTTCAAATTTTTAGATATCTAGACAAAGGTTATATGCTGAAATAGAGATGATCTACTAACCTCATGTAGAGTCTCTCATTTTTTATCTTAGTGACCAAAAAAATTGATACTAAACTTATATAGACACTTGTTGTCAAATATGCTTGTCTAGGAAGAGGATCTCAACTTGATTAGTGAATACAGTACCTTTCTTATGGGGGCATGTTGGATTGCAAAAATCAACTAGTCATTCATTAATGTAGTTAGGTGGATCTACTTGTGCATTCATCATATGCTAAATGGTTATTTGTTTACTTAATTTTAATATGGAATGTACTATTATTTTTATGCAAAATATCATTTGACCAATTTTTCTATTATCCTAAAACAAAACCAACTAATTGGAAACAATTATGTGGATTGGATACATAAATTGATGTTTGTGCTAATTGTGGAAAGACTTAACTTTTTGCTTAAGGGATGTTCTGATATACCTATTAAGACTTGTGACAAGTCCAAAAGGCCGAATATGTTGAGTGGGAGACTGTAGACAAGATGGCCAGCCGTTTCATTTTGACTTTGATGTAAAAATATTACAACAAAAGGCTTGAATGTCGGAGTATATAACATGATATACTACACATTCTTCAAGGCATATTTGATCATTGAAGTAGGAAGCCTCTTTTGATGCCATTCATACCTTATAGAACATCCTCAAGAAATCCTAAATGCTTGTGAATTTCACAATTTGACTGTGATTACATGCTTAAACATAGCTAAGAGTTCAGACACAATCGTCAATCATAGAGATTCAGTTAGACATGGTATTGACCTCATTAAATAACATGTTTTTCACAATGTAATGGGGACTATCACTTATACAAGATAAAGATACTATGAAATGAGTTGATGATAGAGTTGTAATGTGGAAAGAGGTTATAAGGGTACAATGGCGACACTCATGTGGCATTTGATGGCTCCTCTGACTCCAAGCCAAATGTCATATTTCAAAAGCAGAAGAAGAAAGCTAACAATAAGCATGGAAGAAAATAAGAACAAAAGTAGACGGAAAGCCTTAGGTCAAGCATTCCAACAGCAATCCAAAAGATATTGGAAAGATACTCCAGATGTACTAGCTGGAAAGAAAAGTGCTGGTAAAATTTTATGTTACTTAGTATTGCTTAGTAATTAATACTACAAGTTCCTGAATTAACGTACCCATACCTGAAGATGTTCACATTTATGATTGGGGAAACCACAATCCAATTGATTTGGATGTTATTAGCGTTCTCGAAACGGAGCATGAGGACAAAGATGCCAAATTAAACATCACAGATACGAGGGGAAAGCGATAGGGCAAAAAATAAGCAAAATGTTAGGATCAATTTAAGTTGATTTCAACGGGAAAAGTCGTCGATGGCCTTACAGAATCTAAAGCAGTATGTAAATACTACCAATAAAGATTGGAATGGCAGAAAGGAATTGGTACCACACATCTCAACGGCTACTACAAAACATGTGCGGCCAGACATGGACATCTTCCAACTGGTCAAACACAATTACAATTTGGCAATTCAGGTGCTGGTTCTATGACTTCATCCCTATCCACGTAGGTGTATTC